CAAGAACCAAAACATTTTCAAACTAATGGTAGCAAATAGTTTTTCTTGAAAAGAAATCGGGTTTTTTTTTTTATCAAAGCATTGTATATACCTGTTTCTATACACATAAAGTCAAGGTAACTGTGATTTATCAGAATTTGCGCAGTAAACGGTATCTAAGTTTAGCGGTGTTGTACTACACGTAGTTAGAAAGTACAAACAAAAATGTTAAGTTCTCTACGTAGGTGTTTTATTTTGCTATAGGAAATTAAACGCTGAGATTATTCGCTTAAAAAATATTATTAAGTCAACATGTCATAGTAAATTTATGTCATACAGATGTCTAGTTTGTCCTCTTTTAATGCTGAGTTTCAAGTCTGAGTTTGGCTAAATTCGACAGATGTCACACATATGTAACATGTTCCACTAATGATCAAAAACTAAAATGAACGCTGCTTCAATAACTTTCTTTAAAACAATAAAACATCCGTTGCTTTTCATATTGCTGTATTTCCCTCGTCTAATAATCCTCTCACATGAGACCAAATTTTCACGATATCACAGACCCTGATTGAATTGGCACAACTCGTGCTATTTCTAAAAGTGTTTAGGCATCCAGCTTGAGAGAATATCGTTGGCACTTCGAGTTAATGCTAGGAAATATTTCAAAATAATGTTCTTACTCTAAGAGAATGAGAAAAGTCTCTAACAATTCCTAACGCCTCTTTGTAGATCGTTGATTAAAGAGACCTTATCATCACTTTTCAACTGATACTCTTCAATGAACACTTGCTAATTATGTTTCAGTTTTAAAAATAGATTTCATCAATGATATATCGGATAAGGCTAAGAGAATATCAGTTGCCGGATATTCTCTTCATTAAGCTTGTATCCCATGAGCAAAATTTGTAGATTTTTCTTAATGAAATACAAGCGGTGGACACTTCCTTTTTCATTACAAATATATACAACTTCATTAAAATCCAAATCCTTCAAACCTACTTTTGCTGAAAAAAGATCTTTTGACACTATATATATGAGCATTCTCGCCATTTTTGTTTTCCATTGCAATTTTGAACTTCAAAAAGGGAAAAATATAAATGCTGCCTGAAAACGTGTGACTTATTTACAAATAATTAGAAAAGGACTCGTAACGTCTCAATAAAGTAGAAACTGTACCATTCCAGTCGATACAAAATGTAGGTAGAAATCAATTTTTCGAAAGTTCAGAGTTCGTCTATTTGCTCAGGATCCTCTCAAACAGGACGCGACCGTAAGATGGCAAAAGAGACTTTCATTTTTCATTATTTTCTCGCTTACTGTTATAGGAGCAATACAGCAAACCCAAAACTGCGAAAACTAGATTACTTTAATTCTTGAACGTCAATTTTGCTAATTACTTAAAAACCTCTGATCATGCAACAGAAAAATCCCCAGAACATGGTGCAAACTATGAAAAGAATTCCACCTGTGTCGTTATAACGAAGAACCTAGCTCTGTGCCTCAGGAAAAGAGCTCTTTCTATTTACTTCAACTCCTTCCCCTCTGAAATAGCACAGCATGGCATAACAGTCTGTAAATTTCTTAATTTGTTTTGTACGGTAGCTTAATTTCCTTGTGGTGGCTCCGCGGCGCCTATCGCACTTTTCACTGGAACTTTACATTAGCTAAAGTGATTTATATGATAAAAATCATATACTTCTCCGGAATTATTGTGTCTTTACAGCACATTCCTATCAGTGTAATTCTTTCCGAGATGTTGAGTTAAATCCTATTCATGGCATCAGAGTGTGGAACATCGCAAAAATGACCATAGTTTTCCATCCGTTCTGGTAAACAATTTTTACTAAGATTGGCAAAAGCTTGGTTTCGTGATACTGTTGGTGGTCTAATTATTATTTGTCACATTTGCGTAATATCAATGATTACTTTTGATTGGATATTATTTCCACCTCACGCTCATTCGGAAGATATCTGTTTGCATAATTTTTCTAAGCCGACAGAAAAATTCACAACTGATCGTGACGCAGAAAAACTTTACCAGAGCAACGGAGCCTCCTTATTTTGTGATTTCTTCAGTGGTTGACTCGAACCCATAAACCTAGGTAAGTAACCTGACACTCTCTATACGTATACTATAAACTTTTATAAACAATTTGAAATGTCAAAGAAAGTTAAATTCACAAAAAAACGCGACAAAACACGACGTTATCTTGCAGCAATCGGTGCACAAACTTCATGTTTCAATGATTAGTGAATAAACACCTAGATATTGTAGTTCTGGCGCTCAGCTTTACAACGTACCAAGAAATCTATTATGGAAAATTCGAGTACTTAAAGCTTATCCTCCCAGCCTCAAGTACCATTTATTATTTCTTATAAGTCACTTAACCTCAAACTCGTAAATATTCAGTTCTCACATTGTAATTATAATTTTCTATTTAAAAACCAGAAGTATCCTAGAATTTTTTTCACCATGATTAAAGAGGGGACGAGGTTCTCTCAAAAGCCAGCTGCAATTTACTGATATGTAAATTTACAGATTTCGGGACTGGGTTACCACTGTAAGTTTTGCAATTAACAGAGGATAACAAAGAAATCTTTGCTTATTTGCATTATATTTGTTACATACGCAAATCCTTGAAATGTTAGGTCTATCACAGAAGTGAAGATGAAAGCTTCGATTTCTCAAGTTGTGAAAAAATATTAGTTTGTAGAGGCGTTTTGCATTTCACGTTCAAATTGGGAGTCATCTGAAACATCATAATAAGTAGGATATCCGTTGTCAGATAAAACCTCAACGGTTGTTAGAGCGAAGCGGAAAATACAAAGACAGGTAATTATTAATTAGAAGTTTTCATAGGGACTCGAAACAGAACGGGGTGTTCTTTTTCACCTATACGAAATTAGAGACAGTTTTCAACTAAAAATTCAAAATAGATCACAGACCTAAGATAACTAAAGCCAGGATTTTTCTAATTAAAACATTTTTCTTCGAAATGAAATGAATAAATTACTTACAACGTTACTGGTTTTTGAAATATTATTAGCGGCAGTGGTGACATCAAAGTAAAGAACATGCATGAAAAAAGGCCGAGAGTTTTCAATTGTAACTGCACCGATAAAACCGAAACAATCATCAAAGGGAAGAGAAAAAAATCGAAATGGTTGATCTGTTTCATTGGAACAGTTGTCGTTTGATCGCAAAACCTGTGATATGATATCAACAGCGCCCATTTCAAAGAGAATTCAAAAGTAAAAGCAGGTAATGCTGTGAGAATATCCTCCTAGCTTGTTGACGTGTCCAAAAAAAAAAAGCTTGAATTTGCATGAGATCAAGTAATTTTAATCCCAACGAAGACAAATAATAAAAACTGTGATGAAAATTGCACCGAAATAATTGTGTTTTTTCGTATGATATTTTCATTCCTCAGTAATCCTTGGGGTGCCATTAAGACTATCTTGTAACTAACCAAAGATTACCGCTTTGTTTGCTTTGCCATCGGAAAGCGATAATCGCATTAATTTCTTATTCATCGAAAAAACTGGTTTATCCATATTCACTGTTTACTTCAGTTACGCAGAAGGATCGCATTCCAACATTCTTGTTTGCTTTCTCGGTCTCTTTTCTCCAACTTCAGTTTGTAATCAACTTGCAGAATGCGTTTTACTTTAGCAAACGAGAACAGCGTTGGAAAAATGCATGTTTATTGACTCAGCGACTAAACGAAATGATTCAAAATTTCATTTAGACTCATTGATAAGCACTGTTTTCTTTTGTTGTCCTCAAAGCAAACGGTGATTTGTTAGAAGTGAGTAACACCCAAAAGTAAGGTAAACATTTTTTATTTAACGAAAATTCTTTGTTAACGAATATGATATTTTTAGAGTTTGCTTGATGCTGTAGACCAGACAAACGGACACAACAGTATCATTATTTAAGATGATCGAAAATTTTGGGCTGCAAAGACGGTCTTCGTCCGCTAATTGTTCGAGAGCAATTGCTACTAAGAGTGCAAATATCACGCCTTATCAGCACAAGCAAATGAAGATAAAAATCATACGTGCATTGGTCAGAGCGAAACATGTTCACAAGTATTGTCAGGTGATCAAAATTCTGCGAAGCTGGCAGTCAATTTGAATAGTAGGAAGAGATCAGGCCAAAATTCTACCTAACTTAGTTCTCGACAGTACGAAACGACTTAGGGAAAGAAAAGAAGAAAAAGCACTATGAAGTCCACGGAATAGAAGGTATCGATTATGCGATATTCCGCTAATTTATGGGGATTTTGGGTTTGTGGATCTTTTTATTGAGGCTCAGTTTAGTATTTACATGCAAAACATACAGTTTTCATGCGTAATTTTATGCAGCACAACGAAAAAAGACTTTAAAGTTTTTAATCTGTTGACGACAATCATTACATAGAGGAGCTATAGCTAGTGATTACATAAACGTGGGGTTTGTAAAACAAAAAGCCGTTTTTGAAATAGGTCTTTTTACTGCAAATCATCAAGAGAAATCATGCATGAAAAAGAGTACTCCAAGAGCAAATTTGGAGTTTCCATGGTAATTTGAAGGTAGACTTTTTAAGCCGACGGTTAACATCTTCGGCTGAAGACAAGTGTGACATCTCTGTTTATGGCGTAGTAGAAGCTTTTCGCACATCTCACCAATTGTGCATGTTCATTGAAAAACAAATACACAAATTACTTAAAAAAAAAGCATGGTTGATTTAAGCAAGTCATGACTGTTTTTTAATGTTCCTATTGCTAACTCAGCTTTTTTCAGTCTAACCGCTTTATTGTCTCTTGATAGTATTAGTGTACACGGAACACTTATTGAATTGATCATGACGGTGCAGATGTGAATTGTTAATTCAAAATTTATTGTGTAGGATCACAGCTGTTTAACCAATGATAGCACGCGATCGGCTGACGTCCAAATTAGCAAGTCAATATCAAAGGCGCTTATGTGACACACAGTCGTCACAAAGAGTGGACTCGCGCTTGTGGGAACAACTCAGTGGAAGTTGTTCCGAATGAACTTGATTTTTCACTGAGTGAGTGCATGTTGTAAAACATTTGTTTAATCGTGGCCTTTTCGAAGAAGTCAATCTAATCTCTGTTACTGCGAATTTATTGGAAGACTGACTTCTAGAATGACGATGAATGGATGCGATTGCAGAGAGCTAGTTGGCATGTGAAGAAACACTGCACGCTGTCCCCGTCGCCGTTGTGTAAACGGATGGAAAAATTAAGGTAGAGCCGTCTAAGAATCCTTCATTGCACGTTGCAAACGATGTGATTTATTTCCTTGAAGTCCTACACCTTTTGAAATCAAACTATCCGATATCAGATATGTTTTTCAAAATAACAGATTCTGCATAAAAGAGAGCCTTTAGTCACAGTTTTTGGACATAAAGGCATTTTTGTCGTGCGCTACTTGTTAACTGCGGAGCATAACGATTAATATTTCTAGGGTCGAAAGACGTCATGTAGTTTAATGCGATTTGTTCTTTGCGAAACATGTTGAAACAAGGCTTGATACTCAGCATGAATTGACGTATGTAGCTTTTATTTCAAAGGCTTTGATGTTGTTCTAGCGGAAATTTTAAAAGAATAAAACTACTATGACTATAGAGTCATAGTATGTAAATATAAAGTGAATGGCAAGCCAACATTTAGGGAACCGGTTATATTTGGGAGAGGAAAAGCTCTTGAACAGTGTTTCGCTGGATTTTCCTTCTTAAAGAGGAAAAGAAAGTTGAAAGTAACAGTTCAGTACAATACAGTTTAGTAAAGTCCATTATAGTTTAGTAAACAACAATTCAGTATTCCAAACTAACTTACTCATTCGAGTATAAGCTCATCATGTGTTTGAGACGGACGGATAGCTTAAGTAGAAAACAATGGTTCGTGTTCAATCTAATTTCATTCACTGTTTGTTTAGTCTCGCGCCTATTAACTGTTTCACACATTTTAATTGAACAATCTGCTAAAATCATTTTACAGAGTGGTTTGTTTTAATTTACCATAATTGTGATCAAAGGCGATCTCTCAAAATGATTGGTATAGTGGGGTTAAATAAGACAAGAGAATGTTTTAGAAATGGGTCGGCCATGGTCAATTAAAGAAAGAAAGTTGTTTCTCAGAATTTACATAAAATATTCTTTGATTTTGGGGGGGCAACTTAACCATAGGAAGCCCACAAAAGCCACTAAGACTTGCAAAGTGGCAACTTTCATTAACGGGAGGGAGATGGAGAAATTATCTGAGTCATTCTCAGACTGAGATGTCCCTTAGCTTAAAATAAAAAATCGCAAACCAAGGTTTTAGCCACATTTTGTAGTTTCAGGACCAATCTCTATGTTTCCCAAATGGATAGAACTAACATAAATATATTAGTGGAGAATTTTATTCTTATAAATGTCCTCTGGCTGTCTAGACATGCCAGTTCCTCATGATATTTGGCTTGCTCGTCTGTCCAGGATTGAATGCATATATCATTTGGTGCGTCCTTCCGGCATATGACCTCATGAACTTCATATTCAACATAGTAATATGTGTTTTGGAGGATTTTTATTTTTCAGACCATTTCACTTTCGCATGTTCGCACCAATTTTACTATAAGAAATTTCCAGACTAATTTAACTTGTTTTGAGGTCCTACGGCAGAGTAATGCAATACCAATCAAGTCCATAACTTTTATTGCTGATAATTTTTTTTTAGCTTTGTTTCTCAACTAACGCCCAAAATAATGGACTTTTGGCATTGAATTTTCCTCTCTTTTGCATAAAATACAGACAATTATCACACAGCAATAAAATATTACGCTGCTAAAGACCACTTTGTTTCCAATGAGTCCAACATCAAGTTAAGATAAAAAGCTCTCTCAGCAAAATCTTATATAATAGCGACGAATGAAGTTAGATGGAAAAAGCAGAAACAGTATCTACACAGGAAAAACAATCCAATCACTGCCTTGCAACTGTCTTTTTCAGAATCATTTCTACAAAAGCAGAACGTAAACTTCAGTTGAGGAGAGAATTTTACGCGCGTCAATGTATTAACTAGTATGAGCGTTCACCTTGCTTTGATTGATGAAATTTTTTTCTCATCCAGGATAAAAAAGTTATTAATCATGAGAAAATTTTATTATTACAAAACATTAAAGTTTAATTTACTAAGTACAGAACGGCAAGCTCTTTGCTGTAAATTTCAATTATAAAACATAGACTTGTAATAGATCAAAGTCTGTGCCCGAAAAGAAAAGAACATTGTAGTTAGTCATTCTACTCCGGCCACTGGGAAAGCTTTCAATTTTTCAGCAAAAAGACTAGCAAAGCTTTTATTTTAGTCCGCTCATCATGGTCTTATTACTTCCGCATTGCAAAATTGACCATGGCAATTCTTGAAAAAAATTCTCAGCATCTTGAAAGATTACAGATCATTTTTCATTTTCATCTGTCTAGAGACTTACGCTGATTTTCTGAGATATTAACTTGAAATATTATGTGTTTATCGGAACGATCTCGACAGTTTATTATGTGTTTATTAGAACGATCTCGACAGTTTCGATATATGAGAGACATTGGGAAATTTTTCAGCAGCGATATGTCTGTAATTTTTTTCTATTTGCAGTTGATGTTTTCGTTGTTTTTCTCCGAGCAAAGCTTTTATTTTCGTCCGGTCACCATGGTCTTATTACTTCTGCATTGCAAAATTGACCATGGCAATTCTTGATAAAATTCTCAGCATCTTAAAAGACTACAGATCATTTTTCATTTTCATCTGTCTAGAGATTTACGCTGATTTTCTGAGATATTAACTTGATTCCGAGTTAAAGTCAAAGTTTGTCCAGATTGTAGGGAGGGACATTGTATGATAATGTTTGGCAGTTTGACTGCAACAAACAAAGCAATTCTGTTTTAACTAAAAAACCGGCTTATAAAAACAACTACGTTGTTTACATAAATCTTCTTATGTTGAGGTACTTTAAGATATAGATTTTTATTAGCTGATTAATTCAAAGTTCAAATATTTTAAGATTTTAAACTAAGCTAGACGTAAAGGCGTCGAAAGGAGCTATTAACTACACTTCAACGACCCTTTGATTGGCGAGAAGAAAACATCAACTTTTTCGAATCCGGTGCAGAGGGATGTTTGGTCTGAATCATTACTTTAAATCGACAAAATAACTTTGACATAATTGAGAAAACAGTATTTAATCGCATTAGCAGGCGATATGAATTCTGAACGAACACCCGTTAGTTAATATCGGTATGATAAAGGGACAAAAAAGTGCTAAGACGCCATTAAAATGTAATGGTTTGAATTCTCGTAGTATAGTTGCACCTTCTCTCGAAAGTCCGTTTCTGGTGGCTACCACAGCGAACTTTTTAAGGTGTTTTGAAAGAAATGTCAAGGTTATATATCTTATTCTGTTGAACCTGTAAAGCTGATTAAAATGTTTAGTATACCACATGCAGGGTTTTTGTCCCTCGAAAGTAAAACATTTTAAGCGGTTTGCTTCTCACGTAAGATACCATACTACGACCCAGTCATTACCCAGAGGGTAAGGAACAAAAATAACATTTAAATACTGATTTTATCATACATACGCAGTGTTTCTTACACGAATGCAAATGAAGAAAAACGCAGGCGTCTAAAGACTGCGGTAACCTCAGTTGATTGGGTATTCAGTTCTGAAGCAAAATTGTGAAACAGCAGGTAAATTTTTTCTTTTTTTCACTTTAGTTGGATCGGTCAAAATATATCTTGTAATCTAATTTAAATGTGCACTAATGCACCTCACAGTTGGGGGCGAATAACTCATATAGCGAGAATCATTGTCAATATTCGTTTTGTTTAGTTTACTCGAACGATTGGCAGATTTAAGATCCGTCCGGATCATTATCTAGCTAGCTTATCCTTGACGTGATTGAGCCATTTAAGTGTGGGCGCTGATGATTTGACGAAAATACTATATCAGACACGAGAAAAACCAGAGATCTGCCCAAATTTACACAGTTCGGGCGGAGTCGAACGACGTATAAAATTCAATTCAAGAAGCCAAAACGGGTGCATGTTTTTGTATTTTCGTAAGGCTTGGGATCAGTACGGCATCAAGAAGGTAATTTGAAACATGATCAATTTTGGTGAATTAACTTTCTAAAAAGTTATCAAATTAAGTATTTCATGTCAGAATGCGAGTCAAGAATATCAAGGAAACTATGAGCCACAACACAACTTGTGTTCGCGCTTTAATATAGAGCCACCCGCAAACGCAGAAATGGCTGGCTAACCGCTAGCGTCTAAGAGCACACGCCTTCTTAGGCTCTTTGTTTCGGCTCGTGAAACACAAATCGAAAAATTTTTAGGTGTCTTCTGTAAGTGTCTTAATCTATTTTAGAGCACACTGGCTGAGTGTTTTTGTTCAAAGTACACCTTTCTTGCTCCTCTTTAAAATGAATAAATCATTAGAGTAACATTCAAAAGTAGCTAAGAGAAGCTTCCCCGGCACCGATTCAAACCAAAGACAAAATCGAGAGAGGACATAAATTCTATGTAGCCAACCCCTGATGTAGTTAATTTTCCACACCATGACTTTGAGTTACAGACGTTAAGTTTAAGGGAAAGCCAGGATTTTCGGCAAGTCACAAAAAATAAATTTTACGGAAATTAACAACTTTGAATTTTAACAAAGAGGCCAGAGGTAGTTAACCAAGAAAAAGATGGCGAATCTGTAGCGACTCTGCAAGTTATCGTCAAAGTCGTGCGTAGCACTGACACACATGAACGCAAGTACCACGCACGCGTGAGAGCACACACGCAAGTGTGCGTGGGCCTCTCGTAGAGGTCCACGTCATTTCCATTCAGCAACTATTGTGTAAGCGTACTCTTACCGGTTTACAACACTCACTCACGCCCCCCAATGAGAAATACACAGATCGGTAACTGGTAGATAGTTGCGTCATGTCTTCATCACTATTTTACTGGCCACTAAAATTGTACGCTAGACAGGCGAATCTCTCTTGGGGTAGAATTTTTAGGGGATAAAGGGTAAAAAAAAGATATTTCATATGAACTGGCCATTGAAAAGTGTGAACAGCTAGGTTTTTGCACTCCCTATACAAAACTCTTGCACGTTAGCTACTTTTCTATTCCTCCTCCAACCATTTTTGATTTCTCACATGAAATAAAAATGGCTCAAAGTTTTGTGATCCTTCATAAATTACTTTGGCAACTTGTTTAAAATAATTTTTTACTTAACAATACTAAATTATTCTTTTTTGCAGTTATTCTTGAGTGAGTTTAGCCATCCTGGAAGCTATGAATAACATAACTGGGTACAGGTTCCCGCCAACGGCGAACACATCTATATTTTCTCCGACGCCAAATTCTACTCAGCTGGTACCAACAAACCAAAAATCACCGAGCGGTAATTTCATAAACACGATTTTAACCAGCTCGTTTGTGTTCGTCATTACAGCTGGTGTGATAGGTAATACCCTAGTTATAGCCACTATCGCAGCCAGGCGGTGCATGAAGACACCCTGCAATCTATTCATTACAAACATCGCCCTTGCAGACTTACTTGTGGCTGTGATCCTTGGCCCTCTCCGTGTGGCTGAGTTGTTTATCGGTTGGCCACTGGGAGAATTTTTTTGTCGCTTCCTGGCGCCCTTCCAGGAAGTGATTGTGTGCGTTTCAGCTGTCACGCATACCCTGATAGCTCTTGAAAGACACCGTGGCATTGTGACACCATTTAAACCTAAACTGAGTATTCCAACAGCCAAGATTGCCATAGCGGTCATTTGGTGCACATGCTGTTTGACAATAGGTTTACCGCTGGCCTTAGTTTTGAAGGAGGTAGAGCTTAAAGGTAAAAAATATTGCAAAGCCTCTTGGCCCTCGATTCACAGTCGCCAAGTTTATGAAGTGTTCCTAATCACAGCGTTCATAGTGGTACCTCTAATAATGCAAACTGCCACCTACATCAAAATTGTGGCGACTATCAAGAAAGAGGACGCTTCTTCCCAAACTATTTCACGAAGTGGAACTGTGGAACAACGTAGAAATCAGATCCGAAAGAAGGCGCATTTGGTTAAAATGCTGGTCATTTTAGTGGCTGTTTTTCAAGTGTGTTTTATTCCGCGAGGAATCTACATGCTAGTTTACGAGTTCGCCAGTGCATCCTATAAGGAAGCAAACAGGGATGGCATGATGATCGCAAACATCTCCACAATTCTCATATTTTATCTTAAGCACGTCTTAAACCCATTTATTCTATTTGCGATGAGTACTGAGTTTCGAAACAACTGCTTCCCCCGGAAACTTTGCAAAAACAACTCGAATTTTGCTTCGAGTATGTCGCGTTATATGTCTAAGAACTCTCGAACTCAAGTGTCACGCAATAGCGAGGTATTTGAAGAAAAAGAAATGAGTAAATTGTGTGACAGTAGCTCGCCAGATGTGCTTGAAGGAAAGAAAGGAAAAGCAGTGTTCGTCTAGATAGTGACACTAACAAACATAGAGTGTGAGTGACTACTTCATGCCCGGCTCCACGGGTTTGGTGACGTTGTCACTTAGCGAGTGTTCTTTCTTTGAAGGGGAGAGATGGAGCTCCCCTGAACTATTCAACACTAAGGGTCAAACGTCTGCGCATGTGCGAATTTGTAATGACTAGTGCCGTAAAGACAACCAAGTTGTCCCACACAAGTTACAATACATCACATAAGCCAGATAATCGCGGTATTTGTATGTGTAATCAAATGGCGACGAGTGAAATTAGGAAATAATTCACGCGCGTTTTGTCAAAATTCTGATAATTTCCCGAGCCTCTAAGCGAGGGAAATTATCTGAATTTTGACAAAACGCAAGTGAAATTATTTACTAATTTCACGAGAAAACCATTTGATTACCTTTTATTATCGTGGGTGATAAATTACGTTCACAACCGTAATTGTTTTTACTGGTTTATTCTATCGAAAACGGAGAACATGAAGAAGAATATAGTTTTAGTTTAAAGCATACATTATTGTAAAGTTCGTAATTTTCTGAGTTTCTTCACAAAAATACCTTTCGAATTCTTCGTGCCTGTTACTAATTTTCGGCCGCTTCTTTTAATTTCGTAACTTCTTCAAGGGTCACCGTCTTAAATCTCGACGCCATCTTGGTTCTGATCGAGATAAAAGAGATGTTACCATGGCAATTTTGTAATTTCACATGTGAAATTAAAAATTAACGCTGAAATTTCGCGCCAAAATTAAGGAGTAATTTGTCACCTATGATACTACTATGGTATTACTATTATCGTCGAGCTCAAAGCAGAATGTTAATTAAACAACATCATACTTGAATGAGCTTCGTGTTCGAAAAGTGTCCAGTTTTCCTTTCTCTCTTTAGTGCTTCCTTCGTCATGCAGACTTGTAAGCGGTTTCAATTTCTTTTTACACATATTTCGCGACACAGTGGTTGTTTGTTATGTTTTCCTTTGAAATTTTGCGCGGGAAATTGGCGCGCGGCCGGCAAATAAATTATCTCCTCGCGCATGCCCGGTGTTGACCACTGTGTTAAAGTATTCTAACCTCAGATATATAGTAGCTCTACGGGTTCTCGATTTTAAGATTCTTGATCTAGGACAGGTATCAATTTTAGTGCGAAAGCTTGAAACAATCAACAACCATCTGAGGTAATATATTCATAGAGACTAAACGCGTAATAAGCTGTTGTAAGTTGTATGGTAATTGTCGTGTAGTTACCCTTCCCGATAAAGTGCTTTATTGACATTTGTTCTATTTTTGGAAAAAATTGACGATTAAGCTATGGCCCTAACGTTAACTAATCTGATACGATATATCGTTCACCTATATTTGAATATTTTTAATTACCTCAACTGCTTAATAAATATCTTAGTTGCCTTCTCTTACAGTAAATAAATCTCGTTACCAAGGCCTGATTCTAATGTTTTGTAAAATTCTCAATAACGCGAGGGTTAACAGAAATTAAGTTTTGCTTTTCTTTAAGACTTTTAAAAGCGACTGTACAATTATGATGCTTTAACCTAAAGCTACTGTCGTGGCAACCAAATTTGACAATTATCTCCTTTCGACAACATGCGTTAAGAATTACATTCTTAGTTAGCCTCTTCCACGACTTTAAAACAAGCACTAGATATGACACTCCAAACTTGTGAGATCCTTCCCGCGGATCAAAAGTCGGTTCCAAGCTGAGTCTTTCACTCATTCATTGGACATTACGAGCATACTCCCCACAAGTCTAATGCGAAATGCAGTCTCCACGAGTGAAACCAAAACTCAGTGGGTTTTGGTCAGTCGTTACTCACTAGTTTTGGTCGTGGCAAATGTGATTTCATATCCGTTATCAACCCCTGTTAAAAGTAGGATTCATAGCGCCTATGATGATAAAAGACGCTATGGCTTTATGGTTCTAAATAACGCGCTCCAGTTTGAAACGTCTGTTGAGAGCTGTTATCATAATAAAGATTCTACCACAGCAGAAAAGTGAGATATTGCTTTTTTTTTTTTTTTTAAGATGTTCTTGTTTCGTGCATGATATGCACTATTGACTCTCCGTTGTTAGGAGTCGGTCGTTATTGATCGCGTGTGTAGATGGAGGGGTTGTCCTACTCAGTTGGACAACATATGTAGCTACAACTGGCGCGGAAATCTGCACTCGTACCAAAGATGATGAACGGGTTGATCACGTGTTTAAGGTAATACACAATCAGAGTTATTGTGATGGCGTAATGGAAATCGAGGTTGGTTTTTAGGCCACCGCCGAATTCCCACATCAGCAAGGTAAATACACGAGGGATGGAACAGATATAAAATGCGCCAACAAGCAGAATTAACGTTTTAACCACGCGAGCTCTGCTTTGCGCAAGTTTAACCGCGCGAGTTTCCACGTAATCATCCTTTCTGACGGCCGTAATTTCTAAGTTCACTACTTTGACAATTTGTGAATATGCATACGTTTGAATCACTAAGGGTATGAATATAAATATGATGACTAGGTAAACTATAAAAAGTTGACGAGAAAGATCCGATGGCCACAGGATTCTGCACACTCGAAGTCCATGCTCGACGCTTTCCTTTACCACAAAAGCCACAGGAAGCCCACTTGCAATGTAGCTAGTTAGCCAAATGATTCCAATAACTTGCTTTGTTCGCTGAATGGTAAGTTTTTCTTTGAATGGCTGGACTATTCCCCGGTATCGTTCGAGCGCAATGAAGGTGTGTGTAACCACAGACACGCACACAATCACGTCTTGCAGAGGTGCCAAGAAATGACAGAGGAAATTCCCGAGAGGCCAGCCATGGTACATTTCTACGAAACGAAGTGGAGCAATTACGACAGCGACTAAGAGATCGGCAATGGCAATGTTTATTATCAAGTAGTTACTAGAGGTCTTCTGGATACGCTGGCGCTGGAGAAGTGTTCCAATAACGGCTAAATTACCTAAAATGCCAAACACTATTATAATTGTGAGCAGCGCCACGATGATGGTGCTGTATTCGTCCGTTCCATAGAATCCAAGTGAACCTGTTTTTTCTTGAACCGCCGAGGAATTGTGTATATTTGAAGAGTCTCGTGTTGAATTGTTTACTTCATCCATGGTTATCCCACTAATAGTAAAGGAGGCGTTTGGCATAAGGTGGCACTGGTTTTGCTTTCAACCTTGCTCTACACCCTGTAGAAAGAGAAGATGTCGCAGATTACCATACATGAAACAAATCCGTATGTATCTGTCGTAAAGGATGCAAAAGTCAGAACTTTCAATTTCGCACTCACGTATTTGGCGAAAACGGCTGTGCGGCTTACAGAAATTTTCCCCGGTGGCCTTGGCTATTGACTTGGTTTATGTGCGAACGATTTTTAATTGAAAAAGCTTATGCAAAAGCTACACCTATCATCTGAGAGATGTTCTTTACCAACCTTTTTTTCACGGCGCTTAATTAAAGAAATTTAATTAACCGCTTTAATTCTTTTGTAGACCGAGCTCAGCTGAGCCATGTGATCAACGGAGTTTTAGTCAATTAATTCAAAAAGTTCCATTGTGTACCTAAATGTAAAATACGCTGTGGTAATTTTTTGCTCCAGCTCGTAAAAGTAAACTTCTCCAACAAATAAATTATCCCGAAAATCTGATGAATGGGCTTTTAACAGCATGACAACTAGTCTTAACAACAGTAATCGCTGGGTTTGTGTTACACACTTTCTGACATTTTATTCAAAAAGGCACAGATTGCCATGATGATAAATACTGAATCTGAAATTACAAAAAGCTGTTTTTAAACAAAGCAGTCACCAAGAATTACTTGTATCATGACAAGCTAACAATCGTAGCCTGTTAATCTCCTTTCACGCGGACATTATGAGGGAATTGAAGTAAAAATAGAGTTGGTATTATCTCACTGTTAACGACACCATCGCAGAATACGGAAATCATGAAAAAGGATGGCGCTGTAAGGTTTGTTTACAAAAAAAAAAAAAAAAAGGATGATTACAATAGAATCATTACAGTTGGATATTCAGTTCCAACTTTTAACGAGTTGATTCAGTTATCGTCTTAGCTTGTTAATCAAAGAAAAAAATGAATCAGAGTTATCATAATAATTTTTTCCATCTTTTCCCGAAAATAAAACAAAACTATAAAATCTCTTCACTTTTGTAATCATCCTCATTGTAATAGCATCAATTTAACGTAATCATCCAGCTTTATGTATTGAAGTATTCTTACATGCCGCACTAACTAACTACCTGTGGATAGCGTGTACATTGTGGATAATCTGTTTGGAGAGGGCAATCGAAATTTCAGTAATCGTGGCAATTAAACCGTTTCGACAGGTTGCAGATCGCACCATGGATCGAGTACATGTGACACCCCATCATCTCAATAAGGGTAACCTCCAGTAACCAATTCAGCTCCTTCATTCAAGATTCTGTCCCCTGACGATCAGTTGATGGAGACACCGAAAAAAAAAAAGCAGTTGGTGGAGACACCGAAGTTGCGCTTGACCAGGCCGTGGTTTCCCTCGAAGAGCCTCGCATGCAACAGAACTCTCGATTTCTTTTGGTGGTAACTACAAGAGGATGCTAAAGGTGTTAATGAACTGGTGTTTGGATCTTACAAAGCAGTAATCGAACAGAATCAGACGACTGTTTGCAGCAAGTTTGCGGATTACAGAAAGAATCGAGCTCAGTTACCACTGAGAACTATCCGTCATGTTGTGTATGATAGAATTCGGTGATCAAAAAATTCGAAAAGTTCCTTTTCTAGGAATTCGATCGTCAAACCATAACTAACTAAACTAATTCAAGGAAAATTGAATGAAATCGAGCAAATAAAATTGATTTCCTCTGTTTTTAAGCCCAAAAAGCAGGTGCAAGTAACAATAAAGGAAATAGTATCCTATCCTATAAGGATTGTCTTGTTAGGCTGAAACTATTACGACTTAACTATTGGTTGGAGTATTTAGATCTCATATTTTTCTTTAAATGTCTTCATGGACATATAGCTCTAACCCGACCGATTGATAATTATTTTTCACCTGTTACCAGTCAGACTCGCCTAGGTTGCTCAGCTTTTACCTTTAAACTAAATATGAGCAAAACATCTACTTTTCGAAACTTTTATTAGAATTATCCCCTTGTGGAACAATATTCCAGTTGATGCTAGGCACTCAGAGTCCCTTGGCTCTTTTAAGCGCAAGCTTAGGAGTTTTACTTTAACAGACTCTTAAATGTCTTTGATGGTGAAAATTATCGCACTTTAAAATAATGTGTCCTAAATGTCGTCGGATAAATACCCACTCGGTTTGTAGCTGTTAGTTTCTAGTTATTGTCTTCTTTTTGTGTAAGTGTATTAGATTTAGGGGAAAGAGGGGATAGATGCTTAGTTTTTGAGGGTTGGGTTGGTATTTAAAACCTAGAAGGGGACTCATATCCTATTGTTTATATACCAGTACTTTGTACAAATCCTTAAATAAATAAATAAATAAATAAATTTTCGCGCCGATATATAGCTACATCTGAACATTTTATTGAATCTGTCAATTTCTCAACAAAAGATGATTAACTTAATTAGCCTCCAATAGGAACTCTCAGACAACTAAATTAAATAACCTCCTGGACTTCATGACTTCTTTGAGTCATCTTCTATTCTAGCTCTGATTTTCGCTTTAATCTTTTCGTCTGTTTCCACGTCAAAATCGCGTCCTTGTGACTTAACTACACACAATTATAGACACCTGTGTGTGCGGCCCTTGGGCCGGGCTGTACCTGTACTCTTGTTAGCTCAGCTGAGGCCAAAACAGATCATCGCTCGAACTCAAAAATATCTACATATCTCCAACGACAGATTTGGAAATCAAACGAGGTTTATTACCGAACAACATATTACAAACCGAATACCCAGTTCGTCTGAATTAAATTTATGTTTTGATTTTGATTTATTTCGTTCTAAAATGATTTTTCCGATTTTGTTCAACTGCCTAGCTACCCCGGGATGCATCGCAAGCGTGCTTTTGATGCAAACATTTGTATTTTCACACAATGCTGTCAGGTCTGTTTTACTTTTCACGTGGAGCAAGACCTTCTGTCGAGAAGAGATAACGAAGAGGAGAGACTTTAATCTCTCCTCGCCTTCCTTTCTCGCTCGTAAAACCGAAAGAGGAGGAAGGAGAGGGAAAAGAAACTATAACCTACTTTACAAAATCCCACAACCGTTTTTCAGTCGGCTTTCTTATCCAAGGAAAAGTATTTGACTATAAACAACTATGTTATCGGCTAACCTGAAGAAAATCACATCGCTGTCAAAATATTTACCTTGAATGATGTCTGTGAAATTAAATTCCAAAGCTGTATACGGAGGACAAACCCTTCTCCAGCGCTGGCTTGCACGAGGCCTGAAATTTGTCTCTATATATATCTATACGTGGCTCGCTTCGTTAAGACAAGGCGTAACTATAAATAATGCAGGGTTATAACCTGAGGGAATATATTTAATTCTGACGTCGTTATGAGTCTTTTCTCGGTTTCGATTGAAAAAGAAATGCTGCTAACTGCGATAATTCAGACGTTTTTATTCAGAACACGATCAATACCCAAGTACAAGATGATAAGTATTTATAGTTTCTTATACGCGAATTAGACTATTATCTGCTGAGAGGTTTCGTGGTCATCGACTCTTTTGAACTATTCATCATTAAGTACATTCTTCTCACGAAGGAACCCGCAAATTCGTTGCAATAATCTTTTTTGGCAATCAGCACTGCCGCAATCGTGTTTGACAGCATTCATTAAGGCACCAAAGCAGTCAGAATATTCTGTGACACCTTGTTTACTGAATAGGAAATAATTTTATGAATAACATGACTGATATTTAGCTAAAATTATTTTTAGGAAGGTCTGATACAGAGAAATAGTGGAAACTACAAATTCTGTTTTTCACTTCTAAGGTATTTTCACTTTAATTTAATTCGATATTTTTGGTACAGCTGTGCGCGAGTCATTGTCAATCCGGCCTTACTTGAATCCCGCAGGCGACATTTTTAACAAACCAGTTAGATTGATAAGGCCTTATAGGTTGTGAAAACACTGCTTTGAAAATCTAATCTCTGAAGCGAATTTAAATGAATAGGACAAGACCAGAGTTAGGGAAAATGGAAAAATCATTGAGTGGTCGGTGTAATGAAACAAACTAATCGGTGCTGCATATTTTCGGTCAAACACGTGCTTAGCATGATGCAGACTGACATCTGAGCTATGAACTATCTCATTGCAAGGTAAATGATTTTTCTGGGCTGGAAACTTCGTCAAAGGTGAAATTTACGAACTAGACACACTTTCTTTCCGTTCAAGGGAACTGAACTGAACAGTTCAAATTGATATTGAATTGCCAAGCTGGAGAATCATTTTTTCCCGTGGGCTGGGTGCCAAACAGCAAAAAGAGAGCTCAAAATGGAAAGCGCACTGAGCCAAGCTAACATTTTAGCCGATTAGAAAACGTTAAAAGGTATAAAAGTATTTTTACAGTATCATCCTTCTTATGGACTAACCTCGATTTCACGATGTTTTCCTCAGCTCATTCTCACGAATTTTGCGCTCAGTTGGCTGTCCGGTTTATCCTGGGGGAATGGAGGGAAAGTATTTACACTAGCGTTAGCCTAGCTATTTGGGAGTACAAGTTCCAAGTTCCAGGTTCACAATGTCATTGGCAAGTGCGACGCGACCTAAGCAAATCATTCGAACTGAGCTTGTGTCAACTAATATACGCGCTGTAAGTAGGCAAACAAGTCGTGTATCTCATAGAAATTCAGTAAATGGTAAACAAAAAACAGCCAGCTAAGATATTTCACCTCGTGTCAAACTAACTCGAGATGCTAGACGCGCCTCATCCAGGTTGCTGAACTGACATTTTGACAGTGCCTCAATCAAACAAAGTCAGTTAAGATGCGCTCTAGACGGAAAGACGCACGTATGTGAATTTAAAACGTTTTATTGTTGTATATTTTTATTCGGTACGGTTGCGAAGAAGTCCAAAATAAGACTGGTGTAGAAATCGCTCGCTGGGTTCAGCTTTTCTCAAAGCGAGTTGGGCGAGTTTCTACTTTTTGCATCCTTGTGCGAATTTAACTCGTGTCCATAAAGATTGGTTTGTTTAACCTGGATGTTTACTCACGTATGATCGTTTGAAGTGGTAAAGTACTAAAGACATCGATGTTTTTTTACGGCACAGATCACGAAATTCACAACTGGAAAGAAGTCATACTGAGGAATGAATAGAAATGTTGAGAGAGGCAGAAAAAAGGAAACTAAGAATGCAGATAATTCCAGTTGTATATAAAGACTTAAAGTTTAGGTTAATTGTGGCCTTTCATCTTTTGCTAGAAACGAGAAAATTAAAATTATAATTTTAAGCATCCCGCAATTAAAGCAACGAAATCATGGCAGATAGCTGAGTAAGATGATTATAAACACAATTTATTCCTTAGTGTTCAATAGATCATTTGTTTTGCATGTAAAGCTATAGTTTGGAAGCGAAATTGTATCGAAGCTAGATGATATACTTTACTTTGGCGCCGTCCTTCTTAATGCGTGCTGAGAAATCGAAACAGTTAAAAAAAAATCTCCACAATCTAGTGCATTTTGAGTCAAGCTGAGCTAGCTGCAGCTGTGAACTGGCTTATCGATCGAGCATTTTTTTTTTTTAATCTTGTAAGGGGTTGCATGTTTCCGGCACGTGTCTTCTCAGTTTCCAACGTGAGCTCAGAATCAAACTGTTGTTCTTTCTAATTTGGATATATCAACAAAGTTGAAATGGTAAATTGGCCACCGTAACGATTACAAAAGCTGACGTTTCAAGCGTTAGCCCTTCGTCGGAAACGTCAGCTTTTGTAATCGTTACGGTGGCCAATTTACCATTTCAACTTTGTTGATATATCCAAATTATTTCGTTACTCCCACCGACGCAGCCCCAAACAGTTTCTTTCGAAACTATCAACCTTTATTCATTTGTTGTTCTTTCTTTTGTGATACCACCCACACATGTACAGTAAGCTTACTTGGTCACGCCAATTTGACCCAAGAAGAAAAATAAACACTCACCATCTTAGAGAACTGGAATTTTTTTTCAGTTTAATAAGAGCATGTTGAGCTAGGAATCGATATCATTGCGTTTGTTTAGGCAGATATGTCCAAAAATACTCAGTTAGATGCTAAAAGGTTTCTCTGGCTACCGTCAATAATGTACACATATTCGTATTTTGGTAACCGTGATTACACCAAGTATGGTGACGACAATTTTGGTTTAGAGGCGGAAGGCTTTATGTCAACGCTTGGTTTTTCTATTTTCTGCTCTTTCGTTTCATTTATTCTCCCTGACCGATGATTTTTTCTTTAATCTCCCGCTGAACATCCCTTGAATGAATTTTAGGATTTAACAAAATGAAGCCGTTCTCAGCCCGAGCCGAATCACCTATAATTTAGCGAGTACGTTTCTATTTGTTTATTGTGCAAATATCGAATGAAGGGTGCGAAGGTTTGGAACCTTTCATCAACATAATTTTCACGTGTCTTTTGTCCTCAACTGAATTTTAGGGTGTAGAATTAATATCCACAGAGTAATTTGTTGTTTGGTTTATCCCCGACTTTTCCAGGTGAAAATGTTTATCCAGTTAAATGAAGTCCGATCAAGCGCGAGCAGCTGCGCTGGATATATCCGAAAAAGACGATTTCACTTCAATGAATGAATAAACCCTCAAAAAACCGTTCACATCTTTAAGAAAAAACAAAACAAAACAAAACAAAAAAACACAAACATGAGGCAATAATCGTACCCGAAAGATCTTTTCTACGAGTTGAATTGAGAACTCAGTGTAGTGGAAACCGTTCTCATTTTGAAAAAAGCGAGTACTGTGTTGACATTGCGTAAAAAGTAACATGTCCAAAGCGACATTTCTGTCCGGATTAAAATCCTGCATGGAACAATAGGGCATATGTTTTGAAAACAATAGCAAATCTACTCATAAAGTAAAGTTTCCGACTGATTCTAAAGCCTGTAAAGTATACATTACTTTTATATAGTTGATACTGCAAGTGGTGACCACGGCGGCAAACGTATTCTGTCCCCACGCTGAAAGATTAAGTAATTGGTTAAGTCTTCTAGCAAGAGTCTGATCAGTGCGTTATCCAAACTTCACCAGACAGCCGTCTAGCTATATCGACACAGCTGAAGATTTTAAATTAGAATACCTAAACCTGAAATTTAGGTGTAAAGTTTTTTAATATTATTCCTCCTCTGCAATTTATTTGGTAATCTATTTAGACAGCCTCTGGCGGGGTGCCACTGTCTCTCAATACCTATTAAGCAAGAACATTTTCAGTAAATCTCTTAAGTCTCTTCCCATTTACTCCACTTCTACCCTTGCTCTTCGAATTCTAAAGTTTGATTGGGTTTACACCGGGCCTAGCCCAGCTGCGGGAAGCTAATTTGCATGCCGACAGAAAGGAACTACATGTTTGGAGATACATTATTGTAAGAACAGGAAATTGCGGGTTTCTCGATTTCTGTTTTCAAAACAACAGAAAAAATCTCACGCTTTTATTTCAATACAAACAGCTTTCTATTTTTAGGCTAAAAGATTGGACAACTACTTGGAAACCTTATCGACATTTTCAGTCCCAAGATGTCCAAGTCACGTCTGAGTATTGCCTGCCGGCTTAACCTTTTGTATAATTTTGATCTCAGAGATATTTTGAGTTGATTAAAAAAAAAAAAAAATCCGCTTTACGTGACTGTTTCCTTCTCCCCATCACTTTCTTAATTTATGGTGTATTAAAACCGCGTATTATTCGCCCAAATCAGACCCTCCGAAGCACAAAATTTTGTTCATCATAAATGAAATACAAAAGTTATTTACCCTGATCAAGAGAGCATAATTTTAAAATCTCTTTTCCTGATATATGACATCAGGCTAGCATTGATTTAAAAATAGGAAACTTGCCCTAACAGTACATAAAATGGGATTTTACTTAAGTGTTCCTTCTTTTATCAATTCACTAAATATAATCAAAGTAAATTTATATCATCACTCGATACACTTCACTTCGAGTGGCTCAGAAACGAAAAAAGATATCGAAACATCCCAGTTTTGCTCTAAATGGAATCCAAGGCCACAAATCACTTTGTAAAACATACATTTCGATTTCGATTTCTGGTCAGACTAACACTGAGTTAGTAATTATTTTTACCGGGTCAAAATCTTGGCATTTCACTCTTATTGCGGGGGAAAAACCTTGGTCATCTCTTAAGCATCGCATCTTAAATAACTTGAAATTTATGCCTGCACAATAATTTGATTTCCTCACCGCTCAGTAACAATTAGTCACAAGCGTAAATATTTTCCACTGCACATCCAGTTCGCGTTAATCATGATTGATTTTTCAGTGAAAAAATAATGAACATTCGAGGAGGGGGCGGGGGTTGGGATGTGGGGGATTTGAACATCCCCCTTCCCTGTCTAAAGCTAAACCGAAGACGACCCCTGGGGCTATAATTAGGCCTGTCACTCACCCGTGATATAAGCACGTACGAACCGTTGAAAAAGAAAATTTGCATCATCATGATCAAGTTCAATTCATATATGCAAAATTTTCCAACTGTCAAGATGTGTGGTGCCATTAAACAAAGAAAAGAAAAAAACAATCTGCACAACAATTTTGAATTGAGTTAAAATTGCTGAAGTAGCATTGTACTCCAGGTACTTCTTGCGAAGTAGCTAGAGATGTTTTGTACTGAGAAACATCTTTCCATATTCATTAGAACAGCAATTAAACACTGAAACTAATATGTTATCGATAAACATTGTACCTGTTATCATGTGGGAAAATGATACGGATAAGAAGAAAAGAAAGGTAATAGTAAAGCAGCATACAATTGATCGGGTTTCGTAAGTTGATAGGGAAACCATGTCAATTTTGTCTCAATAAAAATGCAATTAAATTCAGTCACTGAATCTGCATCATGATACTGCAACAATGCAAACGTTGAACCAGGAACAGAATATATCATACGTCGTATATCATCAAAAAATGAAAGTGTAAAAACATTGGATGCATGATATGAGGGATTTGGCTGGATCCTGTACCAAAGCGTACTGTTTGAGCTCAGAAAATGTGGCCTTGATAAAACCTGCAGCCCATAGCAACATAAGCTTTCTGATCTGACCGATTCATAAATCTTTCTAAAAGTCAAGTTAACTGTTGCTCTGAGAGTGTTTGATCGATTTGTACCTAAATAGAAGCGATGAACTTGTCCCAGTCTCAGAGTTCCCGTCGTGTCCTTCTCTTGCCCTGACTCTGTATAGTATAATTCCGTCCAATCCGTTCGATTGATACTGATAACTCGTGTTATCATAAAGCTGTAAGTGGCTGTGGGCAAGATGAAGCAAATCCTGTGTTCTGATTGGCTACCAGAGCCGGCAAGATAGCTCTATCTCGCCCGCTCGAGATTAGTTAATACCCGTTTTGATCTCATACAAGAGAGAATTGCGTGGAGCGGACTTGCAAAGTTTGTAATTTAATTTCTGGACAATATCAGACAATGGAATCGCACCAAGCGGCAGGAGACAGTCAAAATAAAGAAAACATCAACGAGCTCGCGCCATCACAGTTGGCTTTCTTTCCTAGCGCTTGAAACTAAACAAGCCCTTCTCGATTCTTATCAAAGCGACACCTGTTTGCTGTATGATAAATCCTTTATTGACCAAGCTTGTTAGCTCAGGATGGCTCTGTATCAGCCCAGTTATTTTTCGCGTTTTCATGCGGACTTCGATTCCGTCTCGGTCCATAAAACGCGAAGGAACTCGGCCAATGTTCATCAGTAATATTAACCTCACGCTTGGTCAATAACCCATATTTTGTACGGGTACCTTTAAAAACCAGTTTAGTGTAGCTCAGTTGTCATACTGTAAATCTGCTTGACTCGTTGCATACTTGTGCAGTACTGAATAATAAAAATGTTGACTGGAAATCAATATGATAATTGCATGTTTGAAATGACGGCTGGATGGTCTACTGTGTTGGAAACGGGACTCTGATTTATTGATTATTCAGTGAGTACCAGATTTTACAGCTGTTGTAGATGGCACGTCTGAAATAATTCAGCTGTAAGTTAACAAACGGTAATCCTTTACTCATTGGCGTCTGGTTCAATTTGTCAGATTAACTAATTAATTATCATCGCACGCATTTTATATATGCACGATATAGTATCTTGGAAATCATTACTTCAGCCGTATGTTGGAAATCATTGAAAACGGTCATACTTATCTTTTTGATAACAAGGATTTTGAATGATACAGCGTCCCACGATTTTGCTCTCTCTTAAAACCTATTTTTCTCTTAATCAATTGTGCTGTTGAAAACTTACAGGTGTCATTTCGTTAATAGAATAAAATGCAATGCAACTTAAATAAATGGTTGAGTGCTTTTTTTTTTTTGAGGGCATAGTATATCTCTCAGTTATCCAAATTGTCTGTCATTGATTAACATTATCAAATTTTGATTATTGCGTTTTGTTAAATTATCAATAAAGAGGAAAACCCTGCAACAAGAAGACACCATTGCTTGAGCGGGCATTAGAGAAAGCTCTGTGACCTAGCCCTAATTTGATTAAAGTGTACACAGACTAAGCGCGTTAAGGTGCACCTGATACAATTTTCCGTTTTTTAAGCTGTTTGACCTCAGTCCTACACACGTGTGACTGAATTGAAAGTGTAATCAGGAGGTTAAGAATTCTGGGCACGAAACACGTTAAATTAGCGAAATATCGGATATTTGGTCTACAGTATTCCTATTTGTGTTGTCATATCTCCAATGAAGACCTTTCCAGATATCTTACAAACTTTGATTTATCATTTATCATCAGCTTTTATAATCGTAACGGTGGCCAATTTACCATTTCAACTTTGTTGATATATTGAAATTATTTGATTCTGAATAATGTATTTGAATAGTTTTGCGCATCACAGTGTCGGGGTTTTTACCTAGGTGGTTCAGAAGAAAGGCAGTAAGAAAAGATCTCCAAACAAGTAAACTAATCGCACGGTTTGTCGCTACCATCGTCCTCAGCGACCATTCTCTTACAAACATGGCTGCTATTGCATTCATAACACAGGTCGAAAACTCTTGAACGGCGTGATTGCAGGCCATCAACAGTGTATCATTTCAGAAAAAATATGGAAATGGCTGAAAAGTTCTAAACAACTCTATGGCTATTGCGCGCTTCTAAAAAACCCAGGAAAGCCGAAATGAATTTCTGAGTAATTATGGTTAGAGAATAATCTTCCAAAAAATAGAATGACGCTTGCGAAAAGGGTTTTACTTCAAGAGGATTGATTGATATTTTTTTTTCATAGAACCTCTTGGGAGTAGCCTATTTAGAGGTTAGCATTAACCACAATCATCTTTTCGGTTTGATTTTTAAGTGAATTCACTTAAGATTTTCAGTAGTTATCAAGCATTTCTATTTCTCTGATATTGGCTCAGTTTTCAGCTTTCAAGTGCTCTCAGTGTTTTCAAATTAACTGAGGTTTCTAGCTTATTGATCCACCTCTACAATTTAGATCAGCCCGGAAAAGCTTTTTTATATTTGATTATCTTCGAACCAGAAAAGCCTTAAAAGTGGTGTGAGTAGTTACAAAAAACTTACAAGTAGGCGTCAGTTTTGATAAGTGCTGAGACCATAATTCAATTACTTTCTCTAATTCAATTATGTATGAAACTTGATGTGGCCCGACTGATTAATTCAATCCTCCCCCGAGTTGTTTCCAGAGGATTCCTGGTCGACACTAAAAATGGGCGAACGAAGGGACTAATATTTCAGACGGTTTGCTAAAATTTGAAACATGCCCTTTACCTTAATCGTCTTGTTAGGCGCGTCAAAGCTCTCCGGTTCGTTACTTTCCAAGTAGATCTAGCAAGAAGAACAAATAAATAGAAGGAATTAAAAATGACTTTTAAATTGTACTATGGATGGAGTTTTCCTTTTCCTATCATTAACACTTACGCAGTGAATTATAAAACCGCCCAAAGAATAAGTGTAGAGGTTATTTAATGTTAAAACTACGGTTGCAGGTGGTAAGTATGCAAATAATCTGGCTTCCGTAAATTTCTATCGGCGCACTAGGTCAAGCTATTTGGGGGGACAATCTAAAGATCAAATCGGCAAATGATAAGATGTTTTTCTCGGCAATTAACTTGCGTTTAAGGGAGTCGAATTTCCCATTTGAAATGTATTGTTTTCTTATCGACTTTCCGTCAATAATATCACTATGTGAAAATCGTGAACGCCCGGGTATATGAATCCTATAGCATCTGCTAATACCCAGTGCCATGAATACACTTTGCATTCGATTAGGTTTTATGCTAATTTTTCCACAGATATTGACTGCACAAAGCACAATTTATGATTTGTTGTATTTCTTAAGTACTACTAGTTAATCTCGAATTCCGAAAAATGAAACCAGTTTTATCAGATCACATTATAATCTAAACCTCTTCATTTATTTGAATAATTTTTTAAAGGGGAAAAAAGACATAATTAACGAATTTGTTTCAGAAATTGATAATTTTCTTCTTTTAGAGACCGGCTACCGCCATCGGAGTTGATATGTGATTTTATCAAATGACTGTGAGGGCCAATCGCTAATATCTTGGTCTGATAATGTCAATATAATTTAAGAACATGTTAATGAAAAAATTTCCCCATCTTCTCAAATTTTTGTTTACTTTCTGACCCATCCAGAACTTTAATTAATTGTTGAACAACAAATTTTGTAAAAAAGTATACAACAAAATTGCTTTTAACTAAGCTAAACTGCTGTGGCTGTTGCTAGCATACAAACCAGCACGTTTATGTGGTCATAAACAAAGAAAAAAGGTTTATCCGACAAACTTTAATGTCTTATTGTGGGCACAATTTAACCCTTATAGAGCGTTTTCTCAGCTATTAAAAATCAAAACCCCTCACAACTGAACCCCACGCCAAAAGTAATTCGAGATAATATCAAAGAATATTGACAATATAACAAACCTGTACAACTGATCCGGCGTGCCAGTTTAAGCTATTCCCCTTAAGGTCAATCTTTCATTAGAATACTCTCCTCGCACAAGTGTAATCCCTTAAACTTGGATGTCTTCTTTCCTACTGGTAAAGATACAATAAAGTGTCTTAAAGGCTGTCGCAAAAACTTAATGTCTAAGAAAATAACCCCCGTAGGGGAACCGGCGTATTCCTTGGAGGGCCTCGGGGCTAGCTTGCAATCCCAACACGCTGGAAATGGATCTTCAAGTAAAGTACTTTTTGTAGCAAAAGGCTAAAATTTAATTTAATCGCGGTTACAACAAAATTGAAGGTCAGAAAAAATGAATTAGGAAACCAATTAGTAACGGAGTAGAGAATCATTCGAAAGTAAAAGTTGCGGGAAGGAGACGGTGAAATGACACGACCCGGAGAGTATAAAAGAGAGCGCAAAAGAGAACAAACGAGAAAATTTGAGTGACAAAAATTAAAATCACCGTGAAAGTGGACACTCGCGAAACGTGGAGGAAAATGCTTAAGCAAGAGTAGATATTGATAAGAAAAGCAACTTCCGTAGAGGCTGCCACAGCCGGCAACAACGTAATGCTTTTAAAGTAGCACAGGTTTTTTCTAGCTATCTACAACTTATTCTATCCTTGGGTAACTCTGAAAGTCTAGGAGCGATATTTAAATATGATGAAATGTTTATAACGAGTAAGTGACTGAGCTTACCAATGTATATCCTAAATATGGTGATGTTTATCAATGGCACCATGAACTTCTATTCAGAGTTGAGGATTGTTCTATTGTTATGTTATTATATGTTATTAAAGGTCAAGGTTCAAACTTCAAAACAACCTTTTGGCAAAGAGACAATCTTTCGGTTACAACATACTTTAGCGATGAACTTTGAATAAACGACTCTTGAACAAAAGCTTTTTGAAATATTTCTAAATTTATACTTTCCATCTAATTTTATCTTGTGAAGTTAAAGTTGTAGACACATGTCAAACAAAGGTCGGGGCCATCGGAAATGACAATGTTTATTTGTTCATTTTTGCGGGTCGATGTCTATTGCGAGGCAGAACTTCAAAGCCGACATATTTCAACCCACTCGTTTCTTGTCGATAACACTCACTCAAGACAACACAATCGCAACAGTTCATCGAAAGAAAATTTACCGTCTTTCCAATGTATTCGTCAACCTTTTTTGGGAAGATTAGGCAATTTATTTGAAGTTTGCTAACAGTTTTACACAACTTTCCGTGCCTACATTGCGTGGAGATTGCACGGAAATTGCGCGTATCGTGCAACTTCCGGTTCCCGAAATAGATGTATCTGGCCCAGTCTTTTACGTTGTTGCTCGAAATTAAACATGGCGGCTCGGTAATATTTCTTGGGCTCAGCGTATTTTACTTCATCTTCCCGCTAGCTAAAGTGATAGTTATAGTTATCGTGATTTGTGAATTCTTTTAGTGTTTTTGCAATCAATAAGTCATGTCAACGAGTAATAAGTCCTTATTTAAAGTACCTCCGCCACTGAAAGCGAAGACCACTCTCGTTACAAACGACTACGACCTCTCGCAGAGGGTTTTAGGTGTGGGAATTAATGGCAAAGTTGTAGAGTGTTTTGAAAAGAAATCAGGCAAACAATACGCCTTAAAGGTGAGTAAAAATTCTCTGATAGTTAGCGTGGTTAACGTCGTCAAGATATGTTGTTCTCAGAATGACAGTGCACAATTTCTCCGGCGGTTAAATTGTGTGGGCGATGCTGCTAACTGATTTCACACACTTTACTCTCGATTTCTTTGTATTCGATCGTTTATTTCTTCATTTACTGGTTTCCGGCACATTCAACGGGAATCACATTCGGATAACATAAATCATACAGTATTTCAATTACGTTACTGATAGCTTTTCAGTGCGCGATTGTTAGAATAATTTCAGATATCCATCCGTAGTTTCCCGTTAGCTGTTTAAAATTGTGACTCAAGGATTTTTCACTTACATGCATGAATGCGCATGGTAATGAAAGTCACTCTTGGTTTGCTTTCTATTTCATGTAAACTGCATGTAAACTGTTACAAGGAAACTGCACGACTTCAGAAATCTGTGAGAGGAAGGCGTAACCCTTGTTATCGGCAGAAAATTGATCAGAATAAATATTGCACATGTAATGCTTAAGTGTCGAATAATTACAGGTACCAGAAAAATGTTATACGTCGCATTTGTGTACGCTTTTGACTGAGGCTAAGTTCTGAAGGGTAGTCTAAAACCCCTAGCACAATTTACGAATATTTGAATCTGACTATTATTGGGTGTAAGCTGCTTAATGTAATTTTCAGTATTTCATTATGATATACTCTTGAAATACATGAAGTTAGCCTGACCTACATCAGTCCTAAAGCTTCATGCTATGTGTGCTGATTCATGTACATATAGCTTCTAATCAAAATAAAGCTATTTAATATTACTCACTGGATGGATATTTTATGGTGAATATAATTTTATTATGATATATTGAAATACAGGTGCCAGCGGTTAGTTGAATTGATTTTGTTTAAAAAAGACAGGGAAAGGGAAATACATGTATGATGGTGTATTCACCTTTTTTGAAATGGTTACCACCACAAATTCATGTAATCCCCAGCTGTTTTAGTATGGGATTGCTGTTAAAAGGGTCTTTTAAAGGGAGCTAAAATGAGCTAATTACTTTAACTTAGAGGAAATGAGCAATGATTCCTGCTAATTTCGTTGGGGCCAATTGGTGTTTGGGATCAAAAGAAATTGAGAAACTTTTAATTTTTAATTTCTCCCCTCTAGCTGCTATGCGTCTCCATATAAATTAGAGTACATGAATTTGGATTTGATCAAGATAACAACTTTAACCTGATAAGTTTGAGTATTCTCATTACCAGTTTGTTAGATAATTTATGGGTATTGTATGGAGAAGTTACATGTTAATCATTTTTGGTAGTAGAAGGTTTAAGGTAGCAAAGAATTTAGATGGAATTGATAGCACATTTACTTTTTCAGTTGTAGGTAAGTGACCATAGTGACAGATTTTACCCCTTAAATTGTTCCATGCATTCCTTAGATTTGAATTTTAGTCATATTTATTGCAGTGAAATTTCTATTTCTATGTTTGCTAGCAAAAAGAAGTTGGTATTATCATTACCTGCTTGCTTGACAGACACCTCTTTTGATTCTAACTAGTTGGCACTTCTGAAATTTTGGCAGTGTCAGAATTCACTCTACAGTAAGCTGTGATCAATTGTAATGTGTGAATTTCTATTCTACATGATTGTACAATCCATGTAGATCAACCCTAACCCTAACCTCTAAGCCAACCACTCTTTTGATGTTTTGAAGGTTCTACAGGACAATGCGAAGGCTCGGCGTGAGGTGGAACTTCATTGGAAGGCATCAGGATGCCCCTATGTTGTTGGTATCAAGGATGTTTATGAAAACAAGTATGCCAGGAATGACTGCTTACTAGTCATCATGGAATGGTGAGTTTTTGTTTTAATACTCAACCTTTTAACTTGAATGAGTGACCAAGCCAGAATTTCTCCTTATAATATTTATCAATACAAAATCAAGCAGACAAGTGATGAGAATAAAAAAATATATCATTTGGGGGATTATTAGTTGATCCAATGTTAAATTCTCCAAACTGACATCATGAGGATTGTATGGCAAACAGTAAGGAGAATTTCTAATGAGATTTTTGGAGTGGGAGCATTAATATTTGTTTTGATTTTTGCTAATTATCCCTGTGGCTTTACTATCTATGAAAGTCATCCTAGGAAAGATAATGTTACAATTGATAAGGTCTTCCTCAAAGTAGAGAAAATTCACAGCTTTCAGCTGATAATATCTATATTTCTTTGTGCCATAAGGCACATAAGGCTTTGACATTCTCTTTCCATCCACTTCGGTTTGTTGCTAAAGTTCTAACAGTTGTCCATGATTGCCACCCAGCTATTCGTCTTTCGTCTTCAATCATTCTCCTCCATGTTGTTTTTTGGTCGACCCGGTCTCCTTCTCCCTTGTGGTCTCCATTCTAATGCTGTAATGCAGTGCTCCTCTCTGTTCTTCCTCATTATATGTCTGATCCAATTCCATCTTCGGCGCCTGATCTCATCACTTGTTCTGTTCACTCCTGCTGTCTCCTAGATTTGTTGGTATGAGATGGTCTGTGGCCATCTTATTTTTCAGCTGATAATAAGCCTTCATAACTTCAGGTGGGAGGGATGCAGTTGCATGATTTCAAGCCAATTAGATGCTTTTGAAGGTTTAGGGCTCGTACATAGGTATTTTCATACAAGGCTGGTTGTTGTTAGCATCCAAGCATGAAATCAGAAGGATTGGTGTGTGATTCCTTGTGTGGAACTCAGATTTCTCATCGTCCATTGCATGTGAAAAAACAAGTAACAGATTTTTTCTTTGACAAAGAAACTTATAAAACATTACCATCTTGTGGACACTTCCTAAGAAAAGGCCAAGGCATAAGAACAGATACAAAATTGTGTGTTTTACACTGTGATTTTAACAACTCAACCATCAGATTTATGATTTCACACTGAACAATTGTTCTCTTGTAGCATGACTGGAGGAGAGCTGTTTGAAAGAATTCAACAGTGAGGTGATTCTCCATTTACTGAGAGAGGTAGGTATGACAAGCTCCAATAGATTTTAAGACAGTTTCTATGGTATATGTTTGATTTGGTTTTGGTTTTGTTTTTGTGCCCACTAAGATGCTTTCTACTTGTTTTTTTTTTTTTTTTCACAGAAGCAGCTGCTATTGTGCGGCAGGTCACCATAGCCATTGCTCATCTTCACTCACTCAACATAGCACATAGAGACCTGAAGGTACAGTATACCATAATATGCACTAATCTAACTTTTAACAAGAATACTGTGAGTAACACACTTGGAGCCCCATTGGTATCCACTTCATTAACACCTTTTTTTTTTTAGCCTGAGAACTTGTTGTATGCAGATCGGTCTGCCAATGCTCTACTAAAGCTGACAGATTTTGGTTTTGCCAAGGAAACAACAGCTGGCTTGGATCTTAAAACTCCATGTTACACTCCTTATTATGTTGGTAAGTTTGATCTCTAACTATCCTTGTATTGCAGTACACCTTATGGGATCATTTCTTTGAATTAAAACTCACGTGGATGACTACTGCAGAATTTCTCCTTATAATATCAATACAGCAGGAAATTGACGAGATTAAAGAAAGTATCGATTAGTGGATTATTTGTTGATCCAATACAAAATTCTCCAAACTAACATTATAAGAATTCTATGGCAAGCAGTCAGGAGAATTTCTAATGAGATCTTAGGTGTGCAAAGGTTGATAACGTAGATCATTTGTGTTCTGTAGAGAGTATTGTGTCAAAGAGTGCAAACCCACTCACTTCGTGGTTTATACAGTCTTTACTTGCTGTAAAGTTATTCGCATGTAGTCAGGCGCGTAGCGTCCTATACGCATATACGCACGTGCGTACTTGAAGTGACCAGAAAATTTTGAAAACAATGTTGTGTTTGCACCAAGTTTGCTCAAAATAAGGGCGAGACACTTTGTTCTTTGCTTGTATTCACACAACTATTTCGAACAAGAAATAAAGAACGCGGTATTTTTCGCTCAGTTTACTTAGGTTTCTAGATTATATGTACTTGTGCGTACTTGAAAAAATGACCACGCGACGCGCCTGGTAGTCTGTGTTCCATTTGTGATATTTACTTTCCTTAATAAGCAACAATTGTGTTGTAAGAAATAGTAAGAACCATAATTTGGCCAACAGCAAAACAGAACATGTTTTCATGCCTTCTGCTGTTTTTACAAATTCATTAAATTTAAACTTGTTCTGCGGCTCTAAGATGGTAGAATTTCAGGAAAGATTTCCACATAACCTATACTTCATTATAAATGCAGTTATTTCATAGAATAAAACAATGACCAAAATGATAGTTTACCTTTAGGACTAATGCTTTGTTTTAGAAAAATGTGAGGTTAAATGGAAATCTGTCAGCGTACTTTCTCGTCTCGAGAGGCCAGAGTCTCGCTTTAAGAGACGAGTTCCTTGCTCCAGGAGAGAAAAATTTCAAAGCTTTAGGCATTTTCAATTTCTCAGTATTATCAGAGATATAAAACGCGGGATATTGTTAATTTACATGTAAGGAAGTGTACAATTAACGTACCAATTGTTCCTACTTTTGGTTCACATTCAGCACCTGAAGTATTGGGCCCAGAGAGCTATGACATGATGTGTGATTTGTGGTCATTAGGAGTCATAATGTATATTCTGTAAGTAATTTTTAGATGGATTTTTTTTTTCTGGATGTGGTAGCTTATGTTAACAAGTTTGAAACAGGAAAATAGATTTTTAACTAATATAAAATTGAATCACGATACATGTATATGCTTTTAACTTTGTTTGAAATATTGGATCATCCATTGATGTACACGTTCATTAAAGGTTGCGCCTAATTAAATTTGTCTATCTTTTGTTCATTTGTAGCCTTTGTGGATTTCCGCCTTTCTACAGTAATCACGGAGCAGCTATTTCGCCTGGAATGCGGAAGAGGATAAGACAAGGCCAGTATGACTTTCCTAACCCAGAGTGGAGCAGAGTGTCTACACAAGGTATGGATGCGAACATCGTTCACCCGTTTTTTCCCTTTTTTTTTTTTTAGAAAGCTCTGGTCGAAGGCTAGAACATTCATGAGTAGTCATGTCCAGTTAAGATGTAGATACGTAATACTCAACTAAATAAACCTTAAATAAATAAACAAACCCAAACCTCTCTTAATCTCTTCCCTCTCCCCCAGGGGGGGCCCCTACCTTACCAGTCCAATTACTGTTACATTGTTATTTCAGGTCGAGGAACTATTTTTACCAAGACAGGTCAGGAAAAAAAACAAAAAAACCTGTCTTTGGCAGTCATGACAAACAAAACTTGATATTGCCGCAGGCAAGAGAACGTCTCTTGTGAAACATAACACTATATGTGTCGTAGTCGTTGTTTCTTTTAAACTGAGTCACCTTTCTTTCAACAGCTAAAGAGTTAATAAAAGGCCTTCTAAGGACAGACCCTCAGAACAGGTTTACTGTGGAACAAGTTATGAACAATCCCTGGATTAAGGTATGAGATGATGACTAGTTTTATGTGCTGGTAACTCGTCTGTTTCGCTCCAGCTTCGTTTCCTCTTCTCACCGCGCGAGTTACCCAGGGCCGACTATTTAAATATCCTACTTGCCTATCAGTTAATCACGTGAACCCCTTCATAGCAATATGCATCTAACACAAGATATTATAATCTTTTGTTCTAAGACCATTCTCTCTCCTACTTAGTCGGCTCACAGCAATATTTATAGCGAAGCGAGGAAGAACGAAGCAAGTGTGCGATAACGCTCACTTGATCTGAATTAAAATAGAGCAGCTTAGAATTGTATAATGGCTTTTGCTGAACCTACATGTAGACGATACTAGAGTGCTGAGACCTTTCTTCAGCTCGAGTACCAAAAGTTGTCAGTTCGAAGTCATCGGTATGGGGTTTTTTTTTTTTTTTTTTTTTTTTTACAAATACGCGCGAGAGTCTCCATTGACTTGCAGACAACCGATTTCCTTTCTTTCTTTCCCCACAGGCTTACACAGAGGTTCCATCCACACCACTGCACACGGCAGCTGTTTTAAGGGAGGAGGAAGAAAACTGGCAAGATGTCAAGGTAAGCAGTTCTCTGTTATGTGAACAGAAGTCTTTCCGGTTTCTTTATCTCAACCGATCTTAACGCTTCGCAAGAGAACTTTGCGCGACAGCTATGCAAAATGCTTTTGCATTGCAGGGGTTTCAATAAGATCTTTAACAGGAAGACACCAGGATATGATATCCGGGCAGAAAGTCTGCAAAGCCCGAGGGGCTTTGCCAAGATGGGGCACCACTTTATGATGTATAACGAAGCAGCTGGGCAAAGTTGTGTTCGCGGCTGTTCAATTTGCCTGGTACCTGGCTCTTGAATAAAACCTCTGGGAGTGGTATGGGTATGGTGTTTTAGTGCGAGACAAGTCCGTATCGTGATTTACATGCATTGGTGTTATCGATAGCCTTACTACATGTGTCTAGAGGAAATTTGGTAATTGGTGGAAATTTAATCTACGGGGTTTTTGAGATACGACAATTGTTCTTCGCGCAACATCACCCAACCGAGGTGCAACAGGGAACTTGAGCCGTTTGACTCTCATAGCTTCCCATCTTCCTTTTCTCGTCTCCCAATTCAAAAATAGCCGTTTAATCCCTCTTCGAGACTGTCCAAGTTGTGAATGAAACTAATCGACCTGAACAACACCCAGTCTTACATTCACGAAAAATTTTTTTTCTGGTTTTCAGGATGAGATGACAAATGCCTTAGCCTCCATGAGATTTGAGCCTGATAAGGTGACCAAGCTTAAAGATGTTAACAAGTCGAGTAACGCATTATTAAACCGAAGGAAGAAGTAATCTTCAACACGTAAGGATTGTATAGTTCATGTAAAAACTAACTATATTTAGAAGGAACGGATGTCTTTTAATGGTCACTTATTTTCCTTTTAAATTGGAGCTAAAAAATTCCCAAACACCAAACTGATGACGTTGAGTAACTTGCGGTGTAATGTCTGTGATTGGTTGTTGCTAGGCTACTTTTCTTGTTAATAACCAATTAGAGATGACAGAAAACGCAAGCATGCGACGAGAGGTCAGCGGTTGATTGAGTGTTCTTTTTCAGAGAGATGATGAAGAAAACATTTGAGATATTATTTCGCTGCTTCTGTTATAGCAGTTGCTGTGTTCAACTCAACCACTAGCTGTAGTTTATGATTACTTTCTAACAAAAACGAACAGAGCAAATTTTAAAAAAAAAAAACACAAGCTTTTTGTCTGTGAAAACTGGTATGAACCAGTGGTGAATTGTAAAACCTTTGCTTTCACTCTTTATTAATTCACTCGTTTTCTCTCCTTTAGAAAAAATTAAAGTGAAAACACTGTTAATTAGAATGGCCAACATTTATAAATCACATCTCAAGTTGATTAATTTACTTTGCAATCCTGGTCGAGAGTCCCTCCCGTGCATATTTACTACATTGCGAATACATATTTATGTGCTATTACGTGTTCTAACAATGGCTACACTGCCTCCCTTCTTAAAGCAATAATATTTTCAGCGACCATAGAGGATCAAATCAACATTGTCAGGGGGAAGGAGGGAAGGAAAATGACGTGCTAAAGACGCATTATTTTCCCGTTCGTTTGTGTCGTGTCTGTAGACTCTTGACCATGATTGTAGTTCAATGTTTTCCTTATTACTATTTCTGTGTGAGGTTGTTGAAGGAAACGAATATTTATGTATATTTGGGAAGGGTAGTTTAACTAGTCAAGTATGTCATGTTTTGCTTTCCCGGTATATTAATGAAAAACTGGTCCATGCAGGAATTTGTCATGATTCGACAGAATCCAAAATTGATGTTTTGTTGATCACCATGTTTCACGCTTGCACGACATTTGTGTTAAAAAGTGATGCTTCACATATTGTAATGCCATTTTTTGTCCGTAACTTTTCCTGAATAAAGTTAAAGGAAAAAATCTGATGCTTCGAAAGAAAATTTCAGTGAAGCTTAGTTAACATTGCTGGTCATAACGAAGAATTCGAATTCTTTATCTTAGTTTTTGGTGCCCTTTACGCCCTAACACCTGTAGGCTTATTCTCCTTGTCGTTCTCGACGTATTTCCTAAGGTGCCGACAAGGAGAATTTGTTTAACAATCAAAGGCCAAAGGCTTCTTTGGTTGGCGATCAACTTCTTTATTCTCGTGACTGTAATGTGTGATATTGTAAGGAGAAGTTTTAACTTGGATGGAAAAGTGTCAAAGTAGTGAATCTCAATAAAATTTTAATGAGAGATATGCTGTTTGCAGCGGTGCAGTACTGCTTACATTTTTTAAGCAAATATTGGACGAGGTTTGACTTGGTGATATCATGAATTATCAATTATCTATCAAAGCCGAAGGCTGAGGCAGATGACACAGACACGAGGTTTGATAATTTGTGATATTTTGCGAAAACTGAATTCAATAATTGTTTCATTATATATATTTTTGAACAATTTGCAAACGAAGACACTCCTCTTTGAGTTTGCAGAATGTTTGAGAACACTACACGGACGAGTGGCTTGGAAACTAGGCAGACTTTGAACTCGATATGATAACCCAATATCTACTGCCGATATTGGTTGATCTTGCCAACTTCACACGTTGTTTCTCGGTTTAACAAGTGGATTCATGACAACCAAGTGAAAAGACAAATATTTTAAAATGCAATCTAGACTGCAGTATCTTACCTCCACAGGCACAGTAACAGCCTCTAAAAACCTAAAAGTGGTCTTTCTTAGCCTGGATCATAAAGATCGGTTTGGTTTTATCAACTGAGTTGACAATGTAAATTGGCCACTGAAACAAGTTTCTGAAGCTATTGGCTCGGACGAAGGGCTAACGCTCGAAACGTCAACTTTTGGTTTCTTTTACGATGACCAATTCACATTATCAACTTAGTTAATAAACTAAATTATCTTATAGTAACCTTCACCGACGCAGCACCACATTTTCTTTGGAAACTTACCTCTGTAAAACAGGCCTTGCCGTTGTTTTGCAGACCCATACACTAGAGCATCTTCAACTAAGCCACCATACGTTTTGGTTTAACGCTGATTTTCATAAAGAGTGTCGTGAGGACTTACCCCAGTTAAACCAACCGATGAAATTATTAGGTGCAGTGTTTTTTTAGAGCTGCGCCCTAAATAAGACTGCGTTTAAATAATCGATCGAACCTTTGTGTTTTAGCTTCGAACACTCAGCTCGATTTCGATTTTTTTATCGCTATTTGGTCGAAGAAAATAGGTAGGATTATAGATTGTGGCAGCGCACACGTGCGTGTTTCATGTTCGTAAGCAAAGTAGGGGGAAGGGATTTCAAAATTTGTTTGCGTAAGGTAAATTACGAGAGAAATTTTTCCCAGCCACCCACCCACGACTCTGTTGCCACGTGTATTAGCAGCTGAGAGTTCGTAAACTCTGTGTTCATTAAGTAGAAATTTTCCGTCAAAAGAGTGATGTGCGTTGCAGTAGAATGTTTTCACAGAGATGACTCCATACTTGAGCTTCGATATATGTTAACACAGAACACGTTATGTTTTGTTTAAATGTTTATTTTTTGTGGTCTTTACTTCAGCTAAGTACTTGTATATGTCGGGAAGATTTTAATTAGCTTGGACAGGTAAATGTAAATCTCCCGAGCCAAAGATTCGTCTCGTTTTCTCTCAGAATGCAATGGTCAAATTACAACGTGGTACGCCATGTATTATGCAAAAGTTACTGTTATTCCAGGCTTTCTTTCAAAACGCTCAGGAGAAAAGAAAAAATGAGAATTGTAGGTGCTGGTGTTTTAAAAGAGACCCCAATGTAGCTGTTTGCCTTTGCAGTCAGCCTTGTTAAAGTTTTGCCTCTACATTGATAGGCTGTTTTTGTTCAGCATCCATGAAGGGAGTATTCAGGGTTGATTTACGAGATAAGAATACGCTTTTGAACGCGGGAAAATTCCACTTTCCCAGGTTTGTTAATCTGCACGGGAATCGAGAGCGAAAATCTGTACTTACAGTAAACAATATTATTGGGTTGATGGCATGTTTGGCATAGTATAGAGCCATGAAAAACAGATTGATCTTTCCATAAACTGGATGGGTCGTTAACTCGCGCGCGAATTCATAAAGGAGCATCAACACTCCTCTTGGTAGGTAACAAACTTGGAAGATTATCATCAGAAGTATTGTCACTCGAATGAGCTTCCGTTTACTGCTCTTTCTTCTAACGCTTCCTCTCGTGGAGCCACTGAAAGAACTCTCCACCCCTTTGCGTCTTAGACAATGAACCACACGAGAATATGCATATGTCTGTAGAAAGAGTGGCAACACTATGAAAAAGATCACCAAGTAAGACCCGTACATCTGCTGAGTAATGTCTGATGGAAACGTTACCAAGCATCGAGGTGTTCCTTGAATTGTATGCAAGTTGCAAAGCAATGCGACTGGTAGGCCTGTGCTTAGGTATGAGACAATCCAAATGAAAACGGAGGCGATTGTTATCGTTCTCAAGGTTAGTTTGGGTTTAAAAGGTGTTAAAACAGCTCTGTGTCTCTCCCACGCGATCAGAGTGTAAGTTAGCACCGACACCACGACGAAAACATCTTGAGTTGGTGCAAGAATCTGACAGGCAAGTTCTCCCAGGGGCCATCCGTGGTACACTTCAACTATCCTCATTGGTGCTCCTATGAGAACCACACAAAGGTCCGCAGATGCGTTGTTGACGATCAGATAGTTACACGGTGTTCTCATTTCTGGCCAACGGAGCGCGGTGTAAATCAACATCAAATTACCGATTAAACCCACACCTATGATAGCGGTGAACAATGGTGGAGCGAGCTCTGCATAGCTGGATCTGATGTCAAATTGAGTTACGTTTTGTGGCTGCGTGAAATTTTCTCCATACATCTTGGTTGTGCGTTGAACTCAACCAGTGACATTTGACGCCAATGTGAACTGGCCTGGCAACAATATGATGCGCTGATATAAGTTTTTCATCTAACAACTACGCATTTGTATTAGCAGCTGTGTGTCGCCACCTGCCTATTCAACACAAAGAGAATCATTTGATCAGTGTAATGCCTGTCAAAATCACAAGAGATGAAATTAAAGAGTCGCATCGCAGTCACTTCGTCAACGGTGACATTTGCATCGGCTTAAAACCGTTCCCTAGATGTTTGACACATTTTATCAATTAAATTGTGTCTCAGTGGCTGCAAAAAACGTCCAGTTGTGTGTTTTAAAACAATTCGTTTTGTGCAGAGGCACATTTTTCTGTGTAATAGACTCTGAGTCTTAGTTGAAACTGGGTCTGGAAAAAAAATAAATGTTGCAGTATATTAAATATATATTGCAAATCGTAAGAAATTACCCATGGTTTAAAGGGCCAGTGCATCATTGAACAAAATGTTCTCCTCCATGTTTGCATTGGATTATTGTTCCGATCAGCAAACATGTTCTCCAAGTTTTGTTCCCATGCAGATAGTAGCAAATCGAAGTTATCCTCGCATTCGCCTTTAGCAACTCTGAGAAAAATGTAGCAGAAAATGGAACTCCTTTTTCCAAAATAAGTGAGGAATTTGAGTTTAAATACTTTAAACTTCAATGTATTATGCATGTATCTCAGCCGTCAAGTCACGGTCCAACATCCGGATCCTAACCGAAGGTTGTAAAAATGGTTTGGATATATCAACGAAGTTGAAATGGTAAATTGGCCACCGTTACGATTATAAAAGCTGACGTTTCGAGCGTTAGCCCTTCGTCGGAGTGAATCGAGGAATTGTGGGTTGTGTGTGCTTTTAAAGGCAGAAAATGGAGCTACGTTGTAAAAATGGGATTGTTCTCTCCCGTTCCTTAGCTTCCTCTCATTTCCACCCAAAAGAAAGAGTTATTTTGCATTTCTTTGACTTACTTTGGGCTAAGTCAAGATTCTTGTAAATCATCAGACTGCTATCATTTCACCAATTTTCATGATTGGAAACTAACAAGGCCTTAAATCATACAGTTCCCGTTTATTAATTTATTTGTAATTTTGTAAAAAGAGAAAAAAAAAATTCTCGAAAAAAGATCCCTAAAATGATAATTAGAATTCTACACCCTGAATTATTTTTTCTATTTCATGAACTGTGAGCAAACTTGTCAGTCTTAATGTGATTTAGTATGCAAAGAGCTTTTTCATTTCTACCGGAAAGGCGGCAAATTTACCTCCGTAGGTTGATAGCAGAAGCATCCGGAGGGTCTGACTGTATGTGGATATATCATTCTATTTCTGTAAATCCATCCTTTTATTACGCGAAATCAAAAAGGGGAAACGAGATCTATCTGAAAACTACCACATCAAGAGTAAATTCATTATTGTCAAGTTTGGTCGCATCTGCTAAGAAAACTGAAATAAAAAAAAAAAAAGGTTTGGACGCTAATTACAGAATTCGACAAATGCGTGCACTAAGTGCTTTGTTTCGCGTTTACGAAATTTGGTCAAATAGAGATGAAAATTTATTGCCCTACAGCCGAGCCAATTGTTCACTGCTTTGTCATCTGTCACATGGTGGAAACAAACAAAGCATTCTTTAATATAGAAGACATTGTAAATATTTTACAGGGCAAACAATGTTGTCTTTGCACTTTTTGTGACTGACAGGCAAATGAGGTTATCTGCAAACAGACAAACACCCACGCGTAACAAATGAAAGGTTTTGAAATCGTCTTAAGACGATGAAGTCCAATTTATTTCCTCTTGCATGCACCTTGCTGTTAGAACTTTCTTCTCGAATTGAATTAAACATAACTTCCGTCATCAACTTAAAAGAAAACTCAAAAGGGCAAGATCCCAAAAACTCCATAACAAATTAAAAAAAATACAAAACAAAACAAAAACAAGACAAAACTGAAATAAAACTAAAATTCCAGATGAGAAAAACATATTACTACGGCTCGTCATTACGGACTGAGTGCTTGCATTAGCGTCCGTGAGCGATTTAGCTTCTGTTAAATTTGCCCGTTGATAATTTCAACCCTTGAATTGTAATGATAAAAAAAATAAAATAGAAGAACTTGGCGTTCCCTTAAAAGCGTACGACGAGGCTAGTTATCCTGGGATATATATGTACAGAGCATATTTCCTCCGTTCTGTTTCATCTTTCACTATTCATACCAGCGAAAATGCAACATAAAAACAAATGTTTTTCTTCGTCTTAGAGCCGTTCATTGAAGAAAAAATTCGGAAACGTTTTAACAAAGGGCAAAAGCTATTATTTTTCTAACAATCTTAATGCTGATTAAAATTTCGGTTTTACTTACCCTGAGGCCAGAGGCGTTAAAAATTGTCTCACTCAGTCGGGAGAAAAGAGGTTTCTTCAGTATCTAAGACATATTCACGAGGTATACAAACTAAAAGCTTTATGGGAAAGTGCATGAGATACAAACTGACAAGTGTTGTTTTGGTGGCTTATGGTTCTTAAGAGCTTTTGAAGTCTCCAATCAACACAAAGCATATATTGAAGGATGTTCAAGTGCTACTACATAAATATCTCGCAAAATGTGGACGACGGCTCATAGCACCAGCACAGACGACTAAGACATCCCACAGCTTAACAGAATTTCATAAGCACGTATATGATAGAAAGAAAATTAAGGGGCTGGTAATGTTTGGCTGGTAATCTTTGGCTAGGGGCGGTAACTACTCGATAAAGCGCCAAAATAATCTGTAGGAAAACTGCCAATCTTACCATCGATGATAAACAATCACTTTTGTCATCGACCCGAAAAGGGGAACGTTCCTTTTCACAAAAGAACATTGCTTATTTCGCATAAAAGTTTGGCGGGAGTTTTGTTTTGCAGATTGGTTCCTTTTTGCGTCTTACAAGAGCAGGTTTTTCTGGGCCTGGTTCATTATAACTGAAGGTTCACCTGGGAACAAATTAATTTTTTTGTATTATCATGGTTCGAGAAGCAGAACATCGATCGTTAAGCCTTAATTAAGTTCCAGAAGTGTTGAACATGTGACTTCTCCCTATATTGACCGAATCGAAATATGGCGTCCAATTTGAATTACCATTGTTTTGGACTTACTAGCCTCGTCTTGACGTGGAAACACATAAGGATTATCACATCTGCGAGAGGCTAGTAGGTCCAGAACAATGGCAATTCAAATTGGACGCCATATTTCGATTCGGCACATTATCCAGTAAACAGGTAATGAGAATACTCAATCTTGTCAGTTGAAGCTGTTAACTTGATTTAACACCAAATTCTTGTAGCCAACCAGGAGAGAGCTAACATTCAGATCTTGTTGGTTTAGGAGTTACAATCAGCGAAGGACATTTAATTTTCTCACATATTATTCTTATTGTTTTAGTCAAAGTACATTGTACCTGTACTTCTCACGCATAAAACCTCCCTCATCTCTTCTACGGATCAAGGATCATTCGCAAAAAATTAGGCCGGAAAATATTTCATGCTCCACTGACGAGATGGGATGATTTTCCGTTTCAAAACCGGTTTCTTTTTCCCATCAACGGTAAGGGAATTTACGAGTCGTGGTTAACAAAAAAGTCACGGAAAGTGTGTGTCTTAAAGGATAAAACGTGTGAAGTATTTGAAAAGGCTCGAGCCGGGTTTTTTTCAGTCTCGCTCACCTTGGCCTGTATCAAAATGTATCAGGTTAGAGAGAGCTTCGTTGTTTTTATTTCTAAATCTGTAAACCGGGTTAATATTTGCGACAGTTGGCCAGGGGGGGGGACATCATCACCCCAGCTCCCCTCTCTCACTGGACTAGGATTGTTGTAAACCCAATATTTCCTCAACTGATTATAAAAATTAATAAACTATCGCTACAACATCCAAAGTATAACAATACCGACGCTAAAAAAGAATAGTCTAGATCTCTTATCTCAAATACGAGGAAAAAAGGGGGAAACTTAATCAATTTGTTTCACATCGCGCGTTTTTTTCTCGTGATTTAATGGAATCTCGTTCCTGAGAGTTGATCCCTTCCCTACCGAAAAAAGAGCTTTCTTAACAAGCGATCGCCCATTACAGCGGATTATAAACATGAAACTAAACTGATTGAATATATACTTGCATGGGAGTTGTACTTTTTAAAGAAGACGAAAAGAATAAAAGATGCAATTGGACAGCCGTGCTAAGGACCTTTACAGCTATAACGAGCCGTCAGCTGTCAGCTGTCGCCGTTGCTTTGGAACAAAATGAAACCCAGTGGGACTTAGGCAATGCTAAGATGACTGTAAAACTTCAGTTATCAAAGAAACGAAAAATCAAAACAGCGGGGGAATATTTTCCGGGTCCATTGTTTTCTCCTCACCTCAGTAGATATCTTTCCATCGTTTAATTTTCTTCCATAGCGTTATCAATCTATGAATATTTAACTCTTACCTAGAAATAACTGCTATCTCGAGATTTAACCGAGAGAGTTCCTGTCGAAGTAGCAGATTAGATTGCTGATGACCAGTTTGCCACTGATATGTATATATTTGAAAAAAGCGGATGATAAGCCTTTTTCGAATAACTTGCTGTTCCAACGAGGAGGTTGCGAATAATGCGCCTAAACGAAACGGACAAGTGGTAAAAACGAAAAAACCAGACGGCGTCAAAGAGGCTTGTAGGTGTAAATCAGAACCAATCAATCGGAGTAAATAACAGGGCGGAGCGATTCAATTTAGCAAATGTAAATCATGCATGTTTCCTGCGTATACACTCCGATTATTAAATTTGCAAAAAATACATTATCATGTTTGCTATAAAGCGAAACTGGTATTGAAACACTTTTTCATGTTAAGTGACAAGAATAGACTCGAGAAACGCACCGTAGTGCTTTCAAATAATTCTCCGGCAACATTCTACGACAATAACGTTACCTCAACCAAAATGACACCTCATACTTTTTGTTATCAATGTTACCACAATCCCTGAATTTTGAATTTTGTAGAAGTGTCGATAAACCGGAGTGAAGACGCATTTGACTCTTCAACATTTCTTTCCCAGGAGTGGCAATATAGGAACTTCAATTCTGCATACGGGAAATATCAATAAACTTTACAACAGATAAGTGATGAAACAAAACATATATAATCATGCATACTAAACTGATGGATCTTATTGGATTTCGCACGAAATTCTCAAATCTAAAATTACTGAAAAGAAATGCACGGCACACCTTGCAAAGAATTTCCTTGTGCAGTATTAAGATCTTGGGAAAGCTTTGTCACAATTTTATAGCGTCATAGATACGTTGAAAATACATAAAAGTTCTTGAAAAAACAGTTTGCTGGAATAAACAAACTTAGCAGGGTGAGAGTAAACTAAACAAAAAGGACTGTTGAGGATACAAACGATTGAAATGGACAGCAATGGCATACTTTAGCAACTGATAAATTTCTCAAGATGAAATTGTCCTGTTGAAGTCGCGAAAGAAAATTTCACATGATCTCATTTCTAGGAGTCTAGCGTCGAAAAGTTCTTTTGACAGTG